CCTGTAGTCCCAGCTACTCAGGAGGCTGAGGCAAGAGAATCACCTAAGCCCAGGAGTTGGAGGTTGCTGTGAGCTGTGTGATACCACAGCACTCTACTAGGGCGAAAGAGTAAGACTCAGTCTCTACAAAAAAAAAAAAAAAAAGAAGAAAGAAAGAAATATCTATCTATATCCCTTTCTCCAAAAAACAAAAGCAACAGCAAAAAATAGGGTGAAAAGACCTGCAACAAATACATGAAAGACATATTACTCAAAGAGTTCATTAAATAATCAAAATGGATAAATTTACAAAGAAACATAAATAATATACAAATATATGGAAAGATGTTCGCCATCATTAATAAGAAAGTGTGAATCAGAATAAAGCACAATTATTACCTGTTAAACTTTAGGTGATATAAAAATAATACTCAATAAGGGTCAAGTAAAACCAAAATTTTCACACATCAATAGCTTTTTGGCAATATGTAACCATTATGTCTCAGCCATCTTCACATTTATGATGTCAAACACAGTAATCTAATTTCTAAAAACCTATGTGACAGTAATAACCTCAAATCTGGAAAATACAGAAATGCTGAAAGGAAGGAGGATGCCTCACCAAAAAAATCCAATTCAACAGAATAAAGAAAGTTTTTTTAAAAAGCATATTCTTGAACAAATTCAGGAAAGATGAATAAATATATTCTCATAGTTACATTCATAAATCTATTTTCATAAATATATGGATAGAAAGAATACAGTTAAAAGAAGAATATGCAAGCAATCATTGGACATAATCAGAAAAAAAAGTTTGCAATAAATTTTGAAAACTAGTTCTTTGGCAAATTGTGTATTAAACAAATTGGGCTTTTGGCAAAGTCTCTCAGTGAATTCCTCTAGAGTTAGGAAAAATGCCTCTAATGCTTTTAATGCTTTCATAAGCATGTTAAGCTAAAAGAACAGTCTATAAAAAATGTAAATACTGGGTCAAAGTATGTGAAAAATGCATTTATAAATATATATGTGCATAAACACATACATATGTTTGGCATATATAAATACATCAAACCATATCAATTAAAGATTATAAACTTACAGTGATAGAAGATATTTTATTTTCCCAAGTAATATATTATGTAAGTATATTGATAGAATATAAAGTAAATATGTAACTTTTACATTAAAAAAACAGAAGTAATAATAAAGTTTGAAGCATTATGTAATCCATACTTTCCTCTAGTGAAGAAAACCATTAATACTTCTTTCCTACCTTTGTTAATGCCTGAAAAATATTAGAAAGAAATTCACATGAAATATCCTTTAAGATTTTCAAGTGGAAGTCATCTTGGGTTAAATCAGACTTTTTAGTTTCTTCTGTGTTAGCCCCTGTAGAGTTCTCTGATTTCTTCTGACAATGTTCCATATTTTGTAAGACCCGAATCAGGCTGTCAATTAGAGGAAGATCTACTATACAGACAAATAAGAGGCATGGAATCAGCTAGTTAAGTCTGGTTTTTTCATTCACTCTTTCATATGTATTACATAAGTGCTAAACATCATATTTTAGGTAACATAAATAGAGGGGTAAGCAAGATCATCAAGGCATCAGCCCTCAGAGGCTTACAATTTTATACTTTCAAATAAGTTAAGTATATTAAATAGATCATTTCAGATTTTGGTAAGTTCTATGAAGGAAAGAAAAGAGGAATATAATAAAGCCGCCCAGCAGGGGAGTCCTTCTAAAAAGGTGACACTGAGTTGAGAACAAAGGATCTGCCACACAAAGATTCCATGAAAATATTTCAGGTAGAAAAAATGAGAACAGAGCTCCATCCAGAAAGAAAAAATGTAAGAGGGCTGGCCGAACAAAAATGAGACTACTGTGGCTCCAGCTTAGTGAGTCAGAGGAGCAGCACAAAATGGGTTCAGAGAATTAGGCAAAAGCCATATCACATAAGGACTTGGACAGAGTGAGAAAAGAATCTTAATTTTAAACTCATCCATAAAAATTTTAAGCAAAGCTTTTTTTTGAGACAGAGCCTCAAGCTGTCCCCCTGGGTAGAGTGCCGTAGCATCACAGCTCACAACAACCTCCAACTTCTGGGCTCAAGCGAGTCTCCTGCCTCAGCCTCTCAGGTAGCTGGGACCACAGGTGCCCGCCACAATGCCTGGCTATTTTTTGGTTGCAGCCGTCATTGTTGTTTGCCGGGCCTGGGCTGGATTCAAACCCGCCACCTTAGGTGTACGTGGCTGGTGCCTTAGCCACTTGAGCCACAGGCGCCGAGCCAAGCAAAGCTTTTAAATGTTATATTTTACTAAGTTTAACCAAAAAAAATTTAGTATGATTTCTTAAAAAGAATAATCATTTTAAGTAGCCTATAATAAAACTGAACATAAAAATAAAGCTCAGGCTTAAATATTAAGTTATATCATGAATATGGTTAAATATCTCATTGTGATTCAATCACTGATCTGACTTTACCACTTCTGCTAAGTAATCATAAACTGAGAGTTTTCTGTATCAATGGATCAAATATGTTGATTTTTAAAAAATCTAACTCTAACCAAACTAAAGTCATTGATAGTACATGAAAATGACATTTTAAAATAATAAGCAGGGCGGCGCCTATGGCTCAAAGGAGTAGGGCACTGGCCCCATATGCTGGAGGTGGCAGGTTCAAGCCCAGCCCCGGCCAAAAAACTGCAAAAATAAAAAATAAAAAAAGTTAAGCAATCAGAAACATATTTTTATCTTTTATTTCTCAACTCAATGTCAACTTTTCAAAGCACCTACTCCACCTGGCTGCTATATCCAAGTCCTCTTGGATTTACCACCTCTCTCTTGTACTATTACCAACTCTTAACTCTAAAGCCCTACTCCTTAGGGGTCTTCAAGGTCATATCAATCTCTACCAGCCTCTCTTGTCTCTCTTTCTCACCCCCAGTCCTAATTCTACAATGCCCTTACATCAGGTGGAGAGCAGGGCAAAGAGGAGAATGTTAATTATTAATGATTGGATTGGAGTTAAAGAAGCATCTTTAGACTGTCTGCCCCAATCATACAAATCATATATAAAGCCTTCACATACATCCAGCAAGAGAAAACAGCATGGACAATAGCATCCCAAAAGATAAAATATCTAGAAATAAACCTAATAGACAGATTTAACATCTATATGAGGAAAACCATAAAATCATTACTGAGGGACACAAAATAAGACTTTTTTTTTTT